CAGGGCAGCACAAGCAACGTGCCCGCAGGTGTTGATCTCGAGTAGCGAGACGGGCATTTTCTTAATGAGGCGGCCGATGACTTGGGCGACCATCCAGCCGGCCTGTATGCACACCAGCGACTTGGCCATCCAGTCCGCCTTGCTCTTATCCTGGATCTGCGACTCGTGAATCTGCGGCAGCTTTCCGACGAAGGATAAGAGCCTGATACCCTCCGGCGTGACCGTTACTCTCCTGAGCGCCGTCTCGACCTCGGCAGAAGGCATATTGACGACGAACCCTCCCATCACGGCGTAAAAACACTGCGTCATGTCCCACGTATGCCTCGAAAACGTCCTGGTCTCCTCCCTATCGGCAGGTGTTCCATCTGCACCTGTACTCCCTTTCCGATCCGCAGCATCCTTTTCAATCTCTTTCTTGAGCCATCTTGCCACAATATACTGAGCCGCCGCCGTGGCGACCACGAGCTCCGGCGCGAAGATACCGTAGAGGACCCACTTTGTCCGCTCCAACGACCGGCTCCGAAGGGTGGAGCGCGCGGCGGGGACGTTGAGGTGGAGGGCCGTCCAGACGCATATCGTGAGGGTGAGCACGCAGGAGCAGATCAGGCCAAAGGTGCCGCGACCGTTTGGTTCGGGAGCCCAGTTAGTCGTGGACGAGGGAGGGGCCGCTGCTGCGAAGGGAGGTGAGAGGAGGGGATAGGCTGCGACGGCGGAGATCATGAGCGTGGGTGGATGTGGTTATATCGCATGTTTGCAAGCTTTAGTTGGAGTTTAAGGCTGGGGCTTGAACCTGTCTAGGAGAGTCGTCCTTAAGATTACGGGAACTCGCGGTACCTATATCATGATTGACATACCATCAAGGAGGGTCGTACGAAAGCGAAGCCGCGGGAGCTGACCCCACGCCGCAGGCGCTGACGGCACGCGCCGGATGCGCCTTACCGCCGGTGCATAGAGCTAGAAGCTGAAGCAGGGCATCGCCACCACCAACCAGGGTTCAGAGGCTGCAGAGCCAATGAACACGGATCACACTGCATCGCGATAAGAGGACGACCAAAGTCATTGGACATGAAAATGGAAATATGCGTTTTGTGGCGTTCTACCCACGCATTATTTGCAACCTTGTCCAAATGCTTCATCAAAAATTCTATCACTCTAAAGGTTGTCTCCTTGTTAGGGCTAGAGGACAATAGCAGGCGAGAGGTTGTGATGAATGACGCTACTTATGCCATTGCGCCACGTAAGTCGAGGTATCTCATTACTGGTTGTGACTGTCTGGTAGTGACGCAGGCACCACAGCTGCTATGGGCTATGCCGGACGAATGTGATGGATGTCAAGTAGTAACTTAAAGTGAGATGAAATTGATTCATCCTCAATGAATTCCCAAGCAAATGTGTGTACGTCCGTATCACTTGAATGGTCTCTCGTACCAGTACATGATTTCCCTAGAGATTATACTTGCATCAAACAGTACTGTCAAAGCAGTACTGTCATCCTCCTGGTGAACACCTCACTTTGTACAGCAAGTGAACTATCCCACGACTTAGCATTCTATCCGATACCAAGTCTAAGAGTCAACTCACCTCAACTGTCGTCGTGCAGATGCCCTTTTCGTGCCGGATGTTCCTCGCAATGTACTCTCCGAACCTCTGGCCTGGGTTGCACCCCACAGAGGGCTCGAAGCACATGCCCATGCCGGCCAGAGTACTTGATGTCGCACGACACGATGCCGGCATCGGAGCGGCGTGAGCCGTCAAAATGGCGGTGCCAAGAACAGCTAAAGAAGAAATCAAGGATGGAAACATGGTGAAAGCTTAATGAATGACGTGTAGTTTGAGTTGAAGAGGAAAAAGGTTGGCTAACTTTTGCGAAGTTTTGCTATTCTATATCAACCTATATAAGATTGTATGATACAGTATCCTAGTCCAAAACTTATTGTACGTAAAAGAATAACTTCTTTCATTCAATCAAAACCACTCATATACGAAATTTGTTCGTAAGTGGAAATGTACGGGGAGCGGACTTCAAGACGTTGTCGCGGGCCCGTGTGATGCGCGGATTCCCTGAGAGAAAGCCGAGACCGAACTAATAACCAGTCTGATTTATGGATATGAGGATTGCTGGGTTCCGCAATTTCTATGGGGGTCTCGGATCTGTGCGCTGAGGCTATCTGCCCCCTCTAATCAAAAGTCGCGAAAGCGCTCGATTAAAGGTGGGAAGGATAGACATAAACTGGCTTCATCCGGCTTTTTGTGTACTTGGCGGTCTACAGGGCTGAAACTTAAATTGATACATCCGTTTCCGACTATATTAGCTTAGTATTACTGAAGGATCATATTGTGCAGTCAATTAACTGGAGAAAATCTCGTCAGCATTCTCTGATGTGGTTCTCTGACTCATGTCGTCGAGTTTGGCATATGAGCTTTGATGCTCCAAGACGGCAACATCCTGTGCTTGGTTCTATCAGAGCTCTTGAGCACATAACGAGTTGACAATAACAAATCGTTGCACGCTGCAAGTCGTATTGATGTAAACGAGCTACATATGCGGATTGATCTAGGAAAGAGAAATCCTCGACTTAAGGACTTTGAACAATAGTAGCTTACACGGAAGCGTCTTGATCGGCAGAAATATCGCCGAGAATGGCATCACAGCTTTTCTTTATCGGCTGTTCGGTTCATTAATCTGCCAACATCGCATGGGGAGATGTCACGTCTTTCGCATTGGTTGCAACCACTCATATCTGATCTCAACACCTGGAGCCTGGCCCCGAGTGGATTCTCTCTCTGAAAGCCCTGAGTTTGATTGGAGCCTGCAACTCTCTATCTCTAATTCCTTCAACTCAATGTTGCGCTAAACCTCTACTGCACTTTGTAAGTTTCTTCTGCCTTGCACAGACTGATATGTCTCAAAGGCGAATATGTCACTCGGATCAGAATACACCTGGTTAATCAGGGAAGCCCTTGATGACTACTTTGTCACACACGCTACGGATTATGCAGTTCACATTTCCTATTCTCTTCTTTTTCAACACGCGCATATGGAATTACTTGTCGGACCAAACGATTTCTCGAAGCTACAAAGTCAACTTATGAGGTTGTCACAAGTACATGAGTAACATAACGCATGGTGCGTAATGGCACACATCTCGCTCCAGCAAACATCAAGAGTTCTGGCGTCCGATACAACGTATTCTCAACCTCTTCCCACATTCTATTTGTTAAGTAGACGATGATAAACCTCTCTTTTGATCGTAACACCAAAACGGATCACGAGTAGTTATCCACTTCGGAGACCTGCAGCTTCTTAGACCCAGAACGGCCATATACCCACCATCGCCATTCGGCTGTGTGTTCTAGTGGATTATGATTTCTCGTTCACAAGTATGTGCACTTGATCCCGAGAAGGTCGCAGGTTCGAGCCCTGCCACGGTCATAGCATCATTTTTAGAAATGCGCTTTAACGTCTCCTGTCTTGTCCGTGACCTGTAGCTTATAGGTTGCTACGTCGTATAATTTCCCAAAGAATTTGCTCAAAACTATGTCTTGTTAACAGAAATCAATAATCCGGCTTTTCTGTCAGGCTGTCGGTCTATGTTTTGGTTGACTAGACTCATCTTAAGCCCCTATATCAAAGCTGCAAGGCAGAGTGCTGATTGGCAGTCTAGCTGGTCATTGAATATTATTTGATTATCTGCTTTGTCCTCAGGTCTGTTTTAAGATTCCAGGACCGATTCCGCCCTCATTCCTTTGCTAGTCGCCCATATCAATATTGACATAATTAAGTGAGGAACCGACCCATCAATATACTAAGACACCCTTCAGTCCTGGAAGTCCCTTTGAGCGACCCCATCACAAGATTTCTTGAGCTAGTAAGCGGACGATGGTGCTTCTCGAGATATGGTCCTTTCTGTGCCTGTCCCATGCATAGGACTGCGTTTCCCGGTTAGCTCAGTTGCAGTCCCGCCGCCGTACCCAGCCTCTTCAAAAATGGTCCTCCTCTTTTTGCGTCCCAAGTATACTAAGGCAAGTACCAGGAGGACGGCCGCAACCACTGCGACGGCGATGCCTGTTATAGCTCCACTCGACATCCCGCTCTTCGTTGGTACTGTATCACCAAGTTGATCTTGCTGGCTCACAGAAGCGTTTCTTGCCGATACATGCTGCTCGACGGCAACTTCAACGGTTCTTGGTACGCTGAAGGTAGACAAGAGCCCAGTGGTTAGACCTTTCCTCTTAGCTATATGTGCACAGGCTGACGATACAGCATCTCGAGCTCCTGTTGAGATTAAGTTGTCAGATGGTGTAGAAAAATGCCAATTGGTTGTCAGACTTACTCGGCATGTTTATTGGCGTGCGTCCAGCCAGACATGATATCAGGACCAATGTCATGGCCTCCTGTCCGTCTGTGTCACATGGACAGTGCAGATTGTCGAGTCCGCAGCCGATTCCTCGGATGCCGTCCCTGATACACGGAACATCATAGGTTGGCCGGTATCCAAAGTCCCCCGCATTTGTCGCGTGTAATGAGTAGACAAGGTCGCGAATAGGCAGTAACATGCTGGGACGGAATTTGATCTCATGTACGCGAGTGGCGAGCAGAAGAGAAGATGCATCACGGAAAAGGTGCATGCCCAGAGGATAATCAGAAGCATCCAGTAGCATCATATTATTATGGTTGCTGGCCTACCGTGCCTAAGGTACGAAGCCAAGCTGAGCCATCTGGGGGATTGGAGCGCCACGGTTATTGGAGACGGTGCGCGCCACGGTGACGATCTTCAAATCTAAACAAGCCACAGGTTTCCGGTTTCCCCTCCTTTGTCCACGTCGAGGACCAATCACCCCCCTTCTACTAGCATTGAAGAAGAAAGCATGTTCCGGCAATTGGAATCACGGGTATGCGGGTTCGACTAGTCTCTCTACCAGACTAAGCAAGCTTGGAGGTAGCTCCCTCTTTTTTTAGTAGACCGCCCTTCCTTGATGCACCATTGTCCCATGTAGCTCTAGAATACAGTGCCATCGCTCTTGATGAGAATTGGGCTTGACTTGGTCTGCGGCCGGAACTTTGCTGCCGTCTCCCGCCCAGATTTCCACGTCCCTGCCTCGAGCAGCTGTGCCATGCTCAGCTCGACACCCTCTCCCATGCGAGATTGAATCTTGCCATAGAGGCTATCGATCAGCACCAACGTCATTGCCCTCCATTCCACGATGACATCGTCACCAGCCTCGAACATTGGCAGCTCGCTACCCGATGCTTTCAAGCCTCGGTCCAGTGTCTCCTTCTTCAGGGCCAAAACACCCATATCGACGAACAGGCCGCCGTTGCGGTACTCCGGCAAGGCCGTGAGAGAGCCAGCATTGACCCACTCCAGACCGAGTACCCGTTGGAATGGAACCATGAGGGAGTAGGTGAGCCACTGTGTCAGTTTGTGGAAAGGTTGAATGCCTGCCGCGGGGGAGTCGGAACTGCCGGCCTTTGCTCCCTTGTGTAAAGTACTCAACGGCCAGGCATCGCCGATGGGTGTTCCGCCAATAGTTGTGCGATCCTTGGGCCAAGCAGGAATCAACAGAGTCTGGAGAATGTCCCAGAGATAGAGCACATCAATCTTGGAGGACCCTTTGGCAGACTTCACCAGATAGTCTACTCGTCGTTAGCACGCAGAAAGTATTTCAGGGGCAGCAGCATCTAACGCACCGACAAGGTTGCCTGGGCGGCCTTCAGCTCCAAATACTTCGGGATGGGCCAAAAGTGACTCTCCCAGGCTGCGAAGGAGGCCGGCGCGAGAGTCAACTCCCAGCATGGGGTTGCTGTCTGAAACCTGGAAACCCTCTGCTAGTACACTTGTCTCTAGGCGCTCCAGGCCCTTTCCTGTGAGTACTAGTGGTTAGCACACGTCTTCAATATTGAATTCGGAGTTGCAATGATTACCATCGACTATAGGGTTGGCCTTGTCTGTTGATGTTGTGTAGGCCAAGTCGTTGAACATGTGGAGACTAGCCACGGCGATGCCCTCGCTGCGCTCATAAATCTGGTCGGTCTTGGGCTCCTTGTATCGCCAATGATCACCTGCCCCGGCATCCAAAAGCACGGACACAAAAAATAGGTCGATGAGACGACGGGTGACCTCGGTCTCGTCGCTTCCACTTGCTTTCCACTCTTCTATAATGTTGGTGACGCGGGGCACATTGCCGACTTCAAAGTGTTGCCAACGCCCATGAGGAGGGATTGTATGGAACTTGTCCGGGCCGTAGTCGCGCTGAAGAGCTCATGTTAGGCTTGCCGTACGAGGGTTTCGAAGTGAATGAAGAATCAGTCCCGACCTTGATAACTGAAGCCACGAAATCGACCACCTCATCCAGCTTATCTTCATGAACTTCAAAGTGGCTCAAGTTCCCAGCTTTGGCGACATCCCCAACGATCTTCGCGCGCTCCCGGATGGCGCGCAGGGAGAGAAGGTACTTGACTTCGGAATCCATTGTGATCAATCTGAATAAGTTAAATGTGAGGATTAGTATGAAAGTGTTGAAACCCCCTCCGTGAGCGATGTATGCACGACGACAAAGGACAAGCAGGGCGACTCCGCACTTATCTAATAGGAGTCGCGGGGAGCTCCGACGATGTCACTGAGGAGGCGGTGGGCACCTGCGACGGCGCCCGGAGCGCCTTATCGGCCTGACAAACACTGAGACACTAACACCGCATCGGGCGCCGGCGGGTACTGGCGGCCCTCGCTTCGCATTCGGGCACTAATGCCTGTTGCTTGACTGCCAAGTGATGTCTGATGTTGTAAAGTAAGACATTCAAGTAATTCATTAAACCACAACATAGCCTCTATTCTGGTTCAATCGTTTACAACAGAATGCCTTGAATCCCAGATCTCGATGTCTTGACGTTACCATCACTCACGGCTTAGAATAGAGTTTAGCCAACCCAAGTGGGGGCACAATGAAGTCATTCAGGGTCCAGGGACTATGGTGCTCAAGGTCAAAGACTAACATATGGCATGATGTCTTCCGTTCTGCAAGTTCAATTGGATTCCTTGTCCTCGGTGAAGCTATCTATATCGCTTCTTTGTGGAGGGTTTGCGAACAGAGACACCGTTTTCTGAATGTCGTCCCAGGTGCCTGCTTGTAATGGACGAAGTAGGATATTGTGGCAACCCGCACTCTAAGGGAATCACAAAAAACACAATGAATGGATGAATTCATGGCATACCAATGTTATAGTACAACGGTGGCTTTTCATTGCTCACAATGCAAGCTCAGAAGCTCGCCCAACTTGCCAAAACCTGCGATAGACCGACATCCTCGCGGAATCACCAATTGTTATCGTCAGTGTAAGTCAATTACACCAGCAAATTAGGATTGAGTTATTTTAGACAAGCTGCAGCCTAAGTTTGTTTTAATCTAGAGAGACTAACGTATAATTCGTACGGTGACATTTTCATGCGTTTACTATCATTTCTGTAGGTACACAGCATTACATTGATCAAGGACAACTGGTAACGAGGCCATCTTTACACAACTCCTCACAATGAAAGTCAGAACTTTCAGTCGATAGTATGTTACTCATGATGTTCGCGAACGCTTTAAGTAGAGGTCACATAAAGATCACGTGCTAGGCGGCCTCCGACTAAGGACATTCAGCCTCATTTCAATCAAACACCCATAGCTGCGCCTGAAAGATTTCTCCCGGCCGCTCTTCAAATTCCGGTAGAGTCTAGGAAATTCAGTAATCTCGCATTCAAGTCCGATCTAGATTCCTTTTCTCCAAAAATATCGCCTGGAATCCTCTGAAGTAGGATATTATCCAACCAAATCGGACAGGGAAATGGATAGATTCTACGCCGAACGACACTTTCCCCACCCGTGGCGCAGCGAATCTTTACAACCTGCCGAATTTCCCGCGTTCTCGACCGCGGGTCACACGTGTCATCATTGTGCTTCAGCTCTTATATCAACATCAAGCGTTGCCCCCGAGAGAATCAATAGATGGGTGTCGCTACATAGCGACCCACTGAAGACACGCCAACGAGGGAGCCTTAGGTGGAGAAACCTTTTGCCTCATAACATGCGGCAGGTTGCCGCTGCTAACGCTGAAGGATGCCCATTCTTCGTCTGGATATGGGGACAGATCGAGAAGTCTAGGACACCGCCTGAGCAACTCTTGCGGACAAGGATTTGCTTGGTGATTGAATCTGTGAATGGAATTCTCTCCGACGCTACTAAATGCTCGATTTTTCTGTCGACGAGCGACTACTCTTGGAGTCCAACAGGGGGTACTTTTGACATTGAGTCTGACGCGTGTAGGTTGAGTTTTTATTGGCGGTAGCGCTCATTATCAGTATTTCTTGCTGAGGCTGTACAGATGACCCCTGCGCGGATGATGCCGTAGGGCAAACCATAGATGGCGGTACCTTTTCAGAGAGCGGCATCGCTCAAATTCGTCGTCGACTCCAGGTTTGCCTTGAATCACACCCGTCTTGTCGACAAGGGACAGGTACTCGGCCTCTGCGGTTCATCGAACTGTCCCCCGGGGACGAGAGAATCGTCCGTATTAGACAAGCCCATAGCACAAGAGTTGACCCATACATTGCTCTCTCCTACTGCTGGGGCCTGGACCAGACCATCAAGACCACTACAGTCAACTTGGCTCGACATCAGACAGGAATAGAAGTCAGAAACCTGCCCAAAACTATACAGGACGCGATTCATGTCACCCGACAATTGGGTGTAAAACTCCTCTGGGTTGACAGCCTCTGCATTGTTCAAAACGATCCTGCTCTTTTAGCCAGAGAGGTCGGTGACATGGCTCATTACTACGCCAACTCTATAATCACAATTTCCGCGGCAGTAGCGAAAAGTTGTGCTGAAGGATTCCTCAGCCCGCCTAACACGACAGGACCGGATGGTTATGTAGGATTCTACTTCCCTTTTTCCGGTGACCCTCGCCCTGATAACTCATCCAAAAGACGCTTCAAGCTCTTCCGTGGTGAGGCGCGAGACGAGATTGACCATATCGATACCCGGGCTTGGACATTGCAAGAGTCTCTGCTGGCCACTCGGTTGGTCTCCTTTGGCACTCGCCGGATATCCTGGGCTTGTATGACCACTAGATTCGGTCCAAGCTCAGGTGCTGCATCACTCCGGGATAACATGTTCAAGACCCGCCACTGGGTGGGATACAGGGATAGGATCGCCCACAACAAAAGCTATGGCTGTAACCCAAGAAACCCCGAGCATCTAATCCCAGATCTTCATGCTATTCTTTATCCACCTTTCGAAGCAATCTTCCAGCTATGGTCCAAGGTTGTGGAAGAGTTCTCACAGCGGACACTTTCCGTTCCTGAAGACCGGCTGTTGGCCATCTCAGGAGTTGCCCAAACACTTGGAAACTTGGTCAAACCGTCGGGTGATATCGACACATCTCCATACGTTGCGGGGCTATGGAATACGCCTCTCCTCCCACTGCAACTCTTATGGATGCCAAAGAAGCCCCTCACTCCGCAGCTGTCTTCCTCCTACATAGCGCCGTCTTGGTCCTGGGCGAGCTTTCCAGGAGCCGTCGTCTGGCACTTGCCTGACTTGACCCACCTTGACTCGTGTATACATACACAATCTGGACAAGAAAAGAAAACGCCCTCGCTATTAGATAGCGAAGACTTCGTTGACTATAGGAAGCTAGCAATTACATCGCGGGCGGACGGCATAGGTCTCTCGCCATTGCCGGAAGTGGTCGCTGTCTCAGTGGAGCCTGTCATCGACGTCGCACCATATGGAGGTGTCGTATCAGGATGCATCACCTTACGAGGCAAGGCTTTTAGCCGTATGAACGAAGTCGTTGCGCCTTGGCATATCCAAATGCGCTTCGACTCTGGGGCAGAGTTGCATTCGTTGAAAGACTTGCCTTCGGAGTTCATTTGTTTCCATATACTTGGTTATGTGATAGAAGATGACATTCCGCTAGATCATCATAACCAGCGTCTAGGCAAAAACTCACAAGGTTTGATTCTTGGAAGGGCGCAAGATGGGACATACCGTCGTGTTGGACTCTACGTAGGCCTGGACATAGGCGACCGTCTGCGCATGATAGAAACTATGATAGAGGTCACACTACACTAGGATCTAGGTAGCAAGGCTATGCGAATCAAAATGGAAGCCAGCAAAGACATCGAATCCGTGCTGTAAGCGCTCTACGCTTACAGGTGAGATGGGTTGATATTGACTTTAAGTTTCACTGGTCTGAAAGACGGAAAATGCACTGTTCAAAGGTCCAAGATCCAGGTGGCTAGTAGGCCCACGAATTAATCAGTTCCTCAAAGTACCCAGCATATCTTATTCTGAGCTGAGATCGATGTTGATGTTATGGAAAGACCGACCCGGCCAAATCAAAAATGATAAGGCTTAGCCCAGCGAGCATCGTAAAGCAAGAGCGATGCCAAGGACATTGAGATAGAGACTGCAGTACAGAGCAACGGTATAACACATTTCCGCCTATCACTTTGATGCCCATGACGTGACTAGCAGTGCATTCGCAGCTCAATTCAAGGTGGGATCTGCTCACGGATCGGAAAGCGCCTGCAAATCTGTCTTTACCCGGCCAATTTTCCCCCGCGATGATATACCCCGCGTCGCGGACCCATCACCGCGCGCATCGGGGGTTCGCCCGGACAGGCCCGAAGGCTGGGCGGAAGCTAGGACGCTTGTCTACAGGGGTGTTCTAACTTATTAGAGCTGGAAATTTGCACTCCTCGTCGGTCCCTTGTATAAGAGAGGCCGAGCTCCGTTTACAGACATGTAAGTCTTTGTGAGGTCGGCTGCAAGTTCGAAGTAGCAAAGCTACATCTCTGACGTGACGCGATGAAGTTCCTCGCAAGAGCGACTCTGCTCTTAGCAGCTGTCGTATCAGCCATCAAGAACCCAATTCTCCCAGGGTCAAGCTCACCATCCTCTCCAATCACCTCGAACCAACCTCACTAACACCTCCCCAGATGGAACCCCGACCCAGCCATTCTCCGCGTCGGAGACACCTACTACATGGCAGTCTCCTCCTTTACCTACTATCCCGGCATCCCAATCTACAAGTCCACAGACCTCGCAAATTGGGACCTCGTATCCCACGCCCTCCAAGACCCCTCCGTCCTCGCCCTCTATGGCGTCTCCGCCGGCGAGGGCGTCTGGGCCCCCTCCTTCTCCCACCACAACGGCCTCTTCTACATCACCTCCATGACGCGATGGGGCTCCGACCCGGACTCCCGCTCCTGGCCGCGGATATGGTACATCTCCTCCCCGGACCTCGTCACTTGGTCCCCTCTGACATGGGCTGAGCCTTACGGCATCGATCCGGATCTGTTTCACGACCCGGCTACGGGGAAGTCTCACCTCAACCTCATGGGGCCTAATAATAACTATGACCGGCTATGGGGCATAACGCAATGCGAAATTGATCTCAGCACAGGAAAATGCATCGGTCCCTACCGTAATATCTGGAACGGCACGCTTCCGCAACTGCCCAGCTCCAGACCAGAGGGTCCCAAGATGTTCAAGCGCGGGGAGTGGTACTACCTCCTCCTAGCGGAAGGCGGCACGAGTACAGGCCACCGCGCGACGATAGGCCGCTCAAAGTCACCCCAGGGCCCGTGGGAATCTTCCCCGACGAACCCGCTCATCTACAATGGCGCCGATCCGAAGCTCACGGTGCAGTCGACTGGCCACGCAACGTTCACTGATACACCTGACGGAGAGTGGTACGCCTCCCTGTTAGCAAGACGGAACGTAAAGGGTGCCTCGCCTCTCGGTCGCGAGGCATTTCTGGTAAAGGTTGACTGGGAGGACGGGTGGCCGACGATGAATGGAGGGAAGCCTCTGTTATTGAGCGAGAGCGTCGACGGACCAGATCAGGAGTATCCCAAGGCGAAATGGGTTGATGAGTTTACTGGCCCCGAGTTGGGCATCAGCTGGTACCAGCAGCGGACGCCGTACACGGAGAACTTCCGGCTCAAGGGCGCGGTGGCGACGGGTGGGTTCGGGAAGAGAGTGGTTGTCAACGACTCGGGGATCGTGTTCAATCCCAATGTTTTCACGCTCGGGGACCGGGATACGGCGGCTGCTGTGCTTCGAAAGCAGACGTCGTTGAACATGACTTTCTCAGCTAGACTGTCGTCGACGTCGGCTGGGCTGGGACCAAGGCAGTCGGTAGGGATTGCGTCGTATCTGAGTGAAGTCAATCATCAAGATATTGGCGTAAGAGGATGTTGGAATTCGACTGGGCTGTGCTTATACGTCGATCTCTTGCCAACTTCCACTGGTCCAACAACTCGACCCAATGTAGGTTCTCCCGCGTTCTCAAGTTGTTGACTGCCTACGTACTGATCTTTTCACCTTACCTCTAGTCAACAGAATACCCTCTCAACGAGTCAACGATCCCCGCAGATCTAACATTTCACATCCGCGCCTCGCCTTTGGAGTACTCCCTTGGCTACTCTCGTAGCAACGCAACCTCGCCCACATGGTTGAAGACATTCAACTCCAAGCAGATGAGCTCGAACCCTGGGTATCCCAACTTCGAGGGCTCCATGTTCGCCCTCTTCGCCAGCGGGAATGGAGAGCCGTGGCCGTACGACGCTCCGGGGATAGGCTTCAACCGCGTCGAGGAGGTATACTTTGACGAGGGTCTACCGGACTATGACAATTGGGCGTAGTGCTTGAATAAAGTCAAAGTGGGCCAACTCGATGGCTGCTCATTCACCTTCCCAGCTGCTTTACAGATTCTTTGATCTTGTTCGTGTCGCAATTTCTTGTCTTGAGCTCGATGAGCGAATACTTCAACTCCCCCGCGCTCCTCAGCTGAGAGAATGGACATGAGTCTCAGGGCGCATGAACGAAGCCGACGTAAACTGGATCTTTTGATTCATTCCTGCAGCGTGCGGCAGTACTTTCCGTCCAGCTTTTACGGTACTCTTCACGGGTGGCTGTAACAATATATAAAGGTAGGGCACTCTCATGATGGACACGTAGAAGACTTTCAGGCCCAGCGATCTTACTAGCGCCTTGAAAGGCTTAATGAGAGCTGGGTCGGCGGAGCAGACAATGGAATCAACTTGATACCATTTTCGAGCTTCAATGTGCCTAAGCGCTGGTCCAATACAACGAGAGTTCCATCTCGCAGAGTCCATGGAGGAAGAACTATACCATAACGGATACCTACCAGACGATGATGAGGCCTAGGAACTGACAACCTGAGTGAGTACTAGATGATCTAGACGGTGTTAACGATATCTACTCTAGAGTCACCACGTAATGAGGTTTCTAAAGAAAGTTCATGCTCCTCGTCCGTTGGAAACGAACACGAACAACGATCTCCACGGCCTTTTGTTACCTCTATCATTAGGCGTACTTATGTATACTTGTCCTCTGCCTCGTTGCTATCAAAGCCGAAGACCGCTTGTGATTTCTAATCGACGGGTGGGAGTATAGGTACCAACTTACCTGCCAACTTCCTAAGATTCCACAAATGACAAGTAACATTGGCCCATTCTCTAAACCGGACGAGGGCCTTCACAAGTACCCCAGTGTTATGCCTAACATGCCTAACAATACATGCAGCCCTTATATCATAAGTCATTCCACTCGGTGAGTTCTCAAACCAGAAGTCCTAAAAAAACATTTCAATCTTGAGCAAAGTCCATCAGCAAACAAGTATACTATGGAGAATACCTCCCGGAAAATGACTGCTATCTACAAATGCTATCTGTACTTAGACACTTTCGTCGTGACTCAGAAGGTGGAGTGTGAAAGTGCTCGGCGCGGCGGCAAGCTGCATACACTCTAGGCTACTCCAGCTTGTATGTTTCCAAACAGCCCGGGAGAAGGATACCACTGGTGAGCTATCACTATCTCACAAACGCAGAAGCCAAGCCTTAAATACCTTACAGCTGCTTGCATTTACAACTTTGTGTTCATCAGGATGGGGAGGGGGGTGTCGAGTTTTGCTTGATTCGGAGGGCAGACAATAAAACGTGGGGATTGAAAGCTCTCCAAGTCTCACGAACATGCACGCTCGGAAAAGCCGGAAGTAGCAGAGATATTGACAAGACTGCCGTGTTGCGCAGCCCGAGATCGTCTCGGACTTGATGTCATACTTAGCCGACTTCAGTATAGGCGGTCTAGGCATTTGTAGATTGAGCCTCTGAAGGATACAGCACGCAGAGGGGCCAGAAGACAAGGTTATCGGCATTTGGGCAAGCAAAGACGGAAAAGATCTTCAGGCACAAAACGCTGGGGTCACGGCGCAACGGTAACGTGGTAATCCCTCGCAAAGTCCACCTGTGTATGAAGTTCTGACGGCTCATCATAGGTACGGATAGGAGAAAGGGGGTTACACAATGTCGTGTAACGCCTTTCTGGCGATCGGGCCTTTTTTGCGGAAATGGAAGTCACTCCGAATGCGATATGTACAGACAGTCATAATGTCGATTAGAAGACTGAGGAATTGCCTCAAGATAAAAAAGGGCGGACATGGTGATGGTGTCGCCAGGCCTCCGATACGGGCGGGGGAAGCACCCGGTTCGGCTGGCAATAATGACCTCGAAAGGTCTGCACTAACCTCGTGAGGGAAGTGCGTAGAAGCTCCGGATATGCGGGGAAACAAAAAGGTAAAAAGGGCGGTTGCAACGGTGGGCGATTAACGAAGCGACGCGACGCGACATGGTGCAGGCATGGGATGCCGGCTGTGCTATATCAATACCACCGTGGGGACGTTAAGAGCCATGGATATTTTGATGATTTTTGGGTAAGAGACGGAGCAAGCTGCGTGGCCAGAGATTGCGAATGAGATTGACGAAGCATTGCGTACATGCTCGATTCCCCAAAGAAGAGCTTGGGAATTCAATAGTTCTCTCGACCCCGGGGCGACGCATGAAGAAGCACGGACGATTAGAGATGAGTGTTGGAAACCCCCATTATTGGGTACGAGATGGAGGCTGAAAAAGGAGATGCTGGTCGAGTGTGGATGCGAGCATGGGTCATGCTAGGCGGGCAAGACAGAAGGCGGGATGAACGAAGTGCTTGTTTGCAGTGACGGGATGGCGGAATAAGCCAGCCGTACGGATATTGGTTGTTAGTCGTTGTTGACTACATGACAGAGTAGTCGTGGCTGGCGGCGGTCTTGCGGATAGAGACGAAAGGGCCATCACTGAGATGACGGTGAAGCAGATCCCACGGGGATTGACGGGCATCGATTGACGGGATAATCTCCCCGGCCGGTCTTCTTATTGGGACTTGTCATGCTCGCGGCGCAACAACTCCTATTAGTGCTTTGACATGTGCTCCGGAGCTCTACGGTGCGAAGGCCGGTGCTGGCTTGCAGGCAATAGATGTCCTAGGCAGATCTTTACAGGTGTCCAGTTCTTTGCATTTGCTATGCTGTCTAGGATGCGTGATGAAAGTAATGTTGGCTAGTGACACCGAGCAGACAATAGCCGTATGCACTGGCCGAGGCAACTGGATATATTGGCAATGTGAAGCTTCGACTCGAATGGGACGCCGGGATAGTTCACCGGGCTTCGAGAACTCTACTTGGAGCAAGGGCGCGTGAGCGGGACATGGGGCCAACGGGGAGCTGCAAAGTCAACGAATACAAAGGGGGGGAAGAACAGGTGATATGATAGGAAGGGGGGCTCACCGGGAGTAGAGAATAGAGCAAACAGGACAAGGTAGCACAGGAGAGACCAGGGCCGGGGATGGTATAGAGTGGGATAGATTGAGGAGGGTTTGGCCTGGAAGATGACGATGCAGAGCAGCAGAAGCTAGACTCAACTAGAGGGTCTCCGTAGTAAGACTCCGTGGTATGCATCCGTAGGGACGGAGACTGCGGCGGACTGAGTTGGGATTGCGGAAATCATCCCATGTTCTTTTGGATGAAGTTGACGACGTCCACGATATGACGATGATGTCGTCGGTCAATATTCTGCGGCCCAAGAGAGCAGAAGAGGGTTCGAAAGTGCAGGGCTGAAATTGAAGATGAGGTCAGTTCAAGGTAGCGCCTCAATGATCTGCTGCGAGTGTGGCTTTGGTGGAATTGCAACTTCATGCGAAGAGGTGCGGTACGAGGCGTCGAGAGCAACGATTTGCTGCATGGGGGCGTGGCCACGGTGGCTTGGCTGGGAGTGTTGAAATTGCATCGGATTTGCGAGAGTACGTGGAGGAGACGCGGCCAGACCAACCGGTGGGACATACGGTCACGGTACCCCTTTACGTAACGCACATGTGAGACGGAGCTACTGCAGGTGCATTAGTGGCTGGAGAAGGAGGTAGTGGGACTTTTGACAGAAGTACCTCGGAGCCTGGAGGAGCTGGCAAGGCAAGTCTCCTTTTGGTACCTGATCGTGTGCGACGGGGGAATTGCAGCAGTAAGGTAGCGGTGCCTGCATCGGAGTCCTTTTTTGCTTCCCTTAGAACGGGTATTATTGATGATGAATATAGAGGGCAATTATATAGTCGTATTGCAAAGAGAGATTTCATCAAACGTGTTGCCTTTTTCAACCTCGCTCGGTGTGACTGATGGACGAGTGTTGCACAAGTGTTGATTGTGCTATGCGACGGGACCTGCGAACTCGGTGCAGGCGGACCGAAGTGCAAAGTACCTTATTCGTGGGTATCCGTAAAGAAGGTACGGAGTATCCGCACCTGCCTTACCTTTTCATGGAGTAAGGTACGTAGGTACACACTACCTTACTGCGGCACGTGTGTGGTAAGGTAGAAAGACAGAGGATAGGTAGGTACGGAAACTCATAGTTTATTCGTACTTGCCTGCCTTCCATTGTGAATGGCATCTGACTAAGACTGTCCCGTCGGCTGGGGATTGGACAGGCCGGGATGTTTGAAGGAGGGGAGGGGGGGCGGCCCTGGGCGGATGGTTCGATATTCACCTTGCAGCGAGCTTCCAGCCACAGAAAACGGGCCTGTCACTCGCTGGGCGACCTGGGTTCAAGGCTCGGGGGTGGCCAACACGGGGCCGACAGGAGTTGGGGAGACCCTCTTCCGAGTCACAGAATGAGTGGTTTCCTTCTGGATCGCGTCTAGGCAGGTTAGAGGTTATGAAAGACTCGACCGGTGACCTCTTACGCCTTTCTAACTTGTGTCAACCTGGAGGTCACAAGTGTCAAGTGGTTAACCATTCAAGGGGGCAGACGGGAGTCGTCTTTTGACATGTTGTACCCCCTCATCTCATGATGTGGAAGAGGATAGGAAACAAAAGGATGGCTCCGTGCTCCGTACGCACCTCGGTATGCGTGGCATCAGGGCATGTCCCGGGCATCGGACCAAACAAGGCTGCAAGTGGCCCGGTTGAATCGATGGTGGAAGCAAGCTAGAGGCGTGTCGCGGGTAGAGGGACGATTCGGGAAGTTTTCCACGTCCACAGCCCAGTGGTTGCTGGATAGCAAGGTACCCAGCATAATATCCAACCTGGAGGTAATTAATAGTTGAGGTGAGCTTTGGATGAGTGTGGTGAGGTTCGGATACATCAAAAGGTACGGATACATGGGGCACATGAGGAGCGTCGAGAGTGAGACGAGGACGAACAGTGGCGGGGACGAACGGTGGCGGGGACGAACGGTGGCGGCTCGCTTTAGTGGAAAGGTCGGGACGAATTCCACTGGGCTAAAATCCCCTAGTGGTGCAGCAAACTGCAAAGAGCCCAAACGAGATGCTGTCAGTGTCAAAGTCGGCCATTTCCAGGTTGGCTGGCAATGGCAAGTTGGCTGAAGGTACCTAGATATCCTTGAGATGTCGATACTCGACGTGACTTTGAGGTCAGTTACCTCAATCTAGGTACCTTATCAGGTAAGGTAAGGTCGGTAAGGCACTGCGTGGTTACGTACCATTCTCGTGAATCCGAGCCAATCACGAAAATCAACAGATGGAAGGAGCAGGCCGAGTTCTAAGATGGAAGTTGCAGTCGGTGCTTGTGCCTTCCATTACTGTGTACCTCAGTACTCCGTACCTTACTTACCTTACCTGAGGTACCTACCTTACCTTACTTGATGTGCTTACTTGCCCAACAGAGACCAAAGTTGGCAGGCGCCATGGACGTGGACAGCGGCCGTGCCATTTGATCAAATGAAACCGGTGTGAATTTCGCGCGTATTGGCGCCATCTTGTCTTTAGACTTTGCCTTCCGCGCGGCTGGTCCTTTCCTCTTTCTGCAAAGTTCACTTAGCACCATCGTTCCCTGCTGTGCTTGCCTATCGACTAAGCCGTGGCCTGCCTTACCTAAGACGAAGCAATGTGTGCAGGGACGGAAGAATCTCAAGAGGAAAAAAAAAAAAAAAGTCAATTAATTCAATTGATGATTGGCCACCATACCTCGAGGTTACTGAGGAAGGTAGCACTACCCATAGGCAACCCAAGGAAGGTACCTTAGCTGAGCAGTAAGGTAAGTAAGTTTTAGCTTCCTTCCCGCTGACCTTTCCACACCTTGAGCTTGGCCCATTCCACCGAAATCTTTTTTTTTTTTCCCTCTTCCTTCCATCCCAAATCCTGCCTCCCCATCCCGCGCCTTTCCCGCCCACTTGTCCCGTCACTCCGTTCGCCTCTTTTCTTAATTCTCTTTGGGCCTTTGCCAACGTGCGGCGGCGGCGGCCACAATTGATCTCGAACGGCCCCCTGCAAACCCCGACACAATCGGTCAACCCTGACCCGCGTCTTTCTCTCCCAAACACTCTCCACCATCCTGGATACTGGACTGGGCAGCAAACGCTCCAAACACTCCAATCCTCCTACACCACGGAGTACCTTACGCAGTACTCCGTACTCCGTACAGTACATACAGGCCAGCAAACCGGGTGTCCCAGCCGCCAGGCCAAGACTTCTCGTCGGCCCGTCAACCTGCGCCTGCGCCTTTGCCTTCACTTTCCGAATATCTGACCCACCCTCGAAAAGGAAGAAAGGGAAGGGAAAACAGAATAGGACCTTCACATCGCGCACTACCCACCACCCACCACAACGAGTACCTAGCAGCGCGACCACCACCACCAACAACCAGTGACCAAACTTCCTTACTCCGTACATACACTACGAAAGCCAGCACAATTCACCCCCTCGTTCAAACTCACCCATGGGCATCCAATGCCTGTGCCTGTGCCTGTCGCCCGCGCTGTCTGCTCGTCTCGTCCCTTAACATCATCCGCCTCTTCTACCGCCTCCTTCTGATAGATCCACCCGCACCACCAATACGCCGTCTTCCCTGACCAATACCAGACACCATCTTATTCTCGACTGGCCTCGTCCCGACTCCGACCCCTCTTGCGGCTTGCGGCTTGCCTTCTCTGTAAGGTACGCGCAGGTACATTCGGAATCAAGACCACCTAACCCAGTCACCCAGTCACACCTCGCAGACTGCCATACCTACGGATACTTCGTACAGACTACAACCGAGTGCTCAAGGCTCAAGCCCAGAGTAGACGACGACGGATATACTCCGTACCCCGACCACCCCCTGGCCCCTCCGTCCTGCGCGCACGCGTGGAAACAGCCTGTTAGTGTTGGGGCCGAGAAACGGGAAGACGAGTCCCCTTCATCCAAGCAAGCATCCAGCATCCAAGCAATCCCAGGTCCAGGTCCTGCTCCCAGCACCAAGTACCCGCGCACCCAAGCACCCGTCGCGCGAAAATTGTGCAGATCTGGCTGGGCCGCTGGCTTGCTCGATTCTCCCTCTTCGCGCGCCGCTCCCTACCTTGCCTTAGTGCAGGCCTTCCTTCTCGGCCGACACCACAACACCCACCCGAACAACGTCGTCTGCCACTTTGCGCGCAAGACAATCTGTGCTTTGCTCTGCACTGCACACTGAGGTGGACGTTGGCTTTGCACACTGCACTGCACATTCGACACATAGCAGCACAGGGGGCCCAGAACTGCAGGAGAAACTCCTGGCCATCCACAATCGCCCTTCTCCTCTCTTTCTCTGCTCGTCCCGGTCCCGAAAAGACCTCCTTCCGTGCTGCTGCTTGACGACACTGGTCCGAAAAGGCGCCCACCCCAAGTCGAATTCCTCCTTCGCACACACCCACAGGCACCCCTACGCGTACCCTTCCTTTCCTCCTCCTGCTGCCGCTCCTCCGCACCCCCTCCCGCCTCCTCCCAGTCTGTCCCGGGACCAGCAGCAAGTGGCAGCAGCAGTCGAGCCACAAGCAAGACTGGACACGAAAAAAAAATCTCGCCTCGAGTCGCGACGCTGAGAACAGGGACCACGCACCAGGCACAGCTCCTGATCAACCTGCACCCAGGGTGTCGCGCATCCACGCTGCTGCTTCCTTCCATCCACGCCTCTTCCCCTGGTCGACCTCACAAGTCCAATCGTGGCTCCATAAAAATTTCTAATTAAAATCGAAATGGCTCAAGAAGACACCACAAGCATCAGCACAAGCAGCACAAGTGCCAGCACCTCCAGCGTGCCTGTACCTGTGCCTGCGCCTGTGCCTGTACCAGCTGTGCCTGATGTCAACGACGTCGCCGCTCCTAGTACGGATCCCTCGACAACCTCTACTAATTCTATCCTCCCCCCGACTACTTCGACCTCTCCTCTTCTTCCCGTCGCTTCTGCTCCTGCTCCTACTCCTGCTCCTCTCTCCACGACACCGACCTTGACCTCCATCGAGACACCGACTCCCTCCACCGAGACCCCGTCCGTCGCGACTGCGAACGCGTCCGTACCTGGCACTGCTGCGGCACCTGCGATTGGTCCTTCGACCACGAGCGCGACTGCGACTGCGACTTCGACTGCGACTGAGTCTACTACGCCTGCGGTGGCAGCTCCTGCGCCTCTCCCTCCTCAGCAGAACGGTCAGCAGAACGGCGACGCGAGGGAGTCACACTCGCCCGGCATGGCGCATAATCAGCACCCTCATGGCTCCCAGAGAGGCTACCCGAGCCCCAATGCCTTCCCGTCACCTGGTCCTATGCCGCCGAACCAATATGCCTACCACCCTCAGCAGACGCAAGCTCAGGCGGACCCATATCGAGCCAGCCCTGGCGCGCCGATTCCTTCTCTGCCGAGCATGAAGAGCCTCGAACACCACTACCAACAAAGTGCGCCGCCGCCTCCTCAGACGATGTCGATGCAGATGCAGATGGCGCCCAACCAAGGCATGCAATACTACCTCCCGCCGGGAGTACAGAGCAACCCATATATGACGCAGGATCTCAACCACCTGAGGTATCAAATCCCCCACGGGCACGATCCTAGATTGATGCGCGGTCCCGGTGGGCCGAAGAAGGTATGTTTGAAGGGATATGCAAAGAGACGGAAGAAGGCTGCTCCGGCAGTAGCAGTGGCTCGTTTGGATAAAAGCTGACGGTTGGGGTTTACCTCTTTTTCTTACTAGGAGATCAAGCGCCGCACAAAGACAGGTTGCCTAACTTGTCGTAAACGCCGTATCAAGGTTAGTAATGGTTCTCGTGAAGTTCTGCTCTGTTTGTCCTTTTTTCCGTCTTTTTCATATCACCATACCCCCGCTACGAATTGGGCGTTGTCGAGGTAAAGAGGCAGTTGGGGAAATTTTCTCGAGACTCCCCATCCGAGAAAGCGCGCGCATGGAAGGCAACATTTTGAAAAGCTCGGGAATGCAAAAGATGGCAAAGAACCAAACAAACTTTACGATAAGCGAACCGAGTCGTGGTTTCGCCAAAAAAAAAACGGTCGCTTGATGTTCGCTTGGTCTGGAGCTACTGCGAAGCGAGGACGGGAGCCATGCCTTTGAACCACGTTCCGGGATCGCGCCCGCGCCCACGCCCGCAGGGAGGAGCAATCTTCCGTTCCTGCAGAACCGACCGCCGCGCCCGCCTGCCCGGCAAGAAAAGCCCCTCCCCTCCTTCCTTCCCTTCCAGTTAAGCCTCCAAGCCTCCCAGCCTCCCAGCCTTGGTTGAGTCCTCAGGACAAGCGTCAAGCCACCACACCATAGAGAACCTGGACGGACACGCCTCCAAAAACTCCAAGCACCAGCCACCCTCACCCATCTGTCGCGACTGCCGCTACCTGAGCTGGGCCTAGCCTCGTCCCATCTGCGACATTCATCGACTCCAACTCCAATTCATTCACCTTACCTCATCATCACCCCCAATACACACACATCTCACACACAGCCCTACCATCGTCGCCCGCAAACGGCATCTGCATATTCACCCGCTGCATTTCCCCACTCTCATATTTCCAGTTGTCTTACACATACATACCCGTTGTCGTTCTCATTCCTCGCTCACGAGGCCACTCTTGGTTGAGCTCTTTTCTCAGTAAAAGCCGCCATTCTAACCATCTCTTATAGTGTGACGAGGCTCACCCCTCCTGCAACAACTGTAAAAAGTCGAAGCGAGAGTGTTTGGGATACGACCCCATCTTCAAGCAGCAGCCAGGTCCTTCCGTAATCCAGCCCGCTCCGAACGCCCAGCGGGTGCCGACGCCGACCATCCCGTCCGTGCCATCATCCGTCCCACCTCCGGTCCCGACTGTACCTTCAACGCCTGCCGCGCCTCAGGTCCCCGTGCCGGTAGCTCCATCAAACCCCTACGGAAACCAGCCCGCCGTCTTGCCCAGCTCGTATAATCCTCCCGTTCCATCTTCGCACGCCCCTCTCGATCCAGCCTTGAATTCTGCTGCGTCCGGCATCAAACCCGAGCCCACCGCCTACGACTTTGCGGCCCCGATAGATCCAGCTCTGCAAAACCTACCCGCCCCGGCAACGTTACATTCTACTCAGACTCAGTCGTTCTCGGGCGAGCAAAGGGCAGGCTTCGACAACCATCTCAGAGGTGCGACCCTCCCGCTATCATTGTACATGCCTTGTTCTCTTTCAGCCGTTGTTGCTTCGTTCTCAAACCCTCATACTAACACGACCTACACAGCCACCAGAATGAAGGTCGATGACCTGATCGGCCTCCTGGGCCCCGCTGCTCCCACCCAGGAGATTGCCCTCACTCCCGAGCTACTCACCGAGATCATCAACGTCTATCGCGAGGTCTATGCTGTCGGTCTCCAGTCCTTCTTCGAGGCAAACTACTTCCAGAAGCAGGATGCCCAGGGAAAGTTTGCCTTTGAGCACAGCCAGCAACTCTTGCGCCAATTTGCCTCGTTCCTCAAGATTGTTCAGTCTGTCCCGGCCAATGACCACACCCAGATGACCCATTCTGGAGTTCTCGAGACTCGGTTGATCTGGGCCTTGGCCATCTTGCCATGCAATAGCGCTCCCCCTTCGTCCAACGCCGATGCCAAGGTTCTGCCACCTCCGGATGACCTGACAGAAGCAGCCAACCGAGTCAAGGTCATGGAGACCCTCCTCTGCGGCGACTTCTTGTCCTCAAATCCTCTCACACCTCCTGTTCCTGACACCCAGCCTCATCGCGAGCAGGAGTTTGAGTTCTGGTGTAACCTTGCACAGTATCTGTGCTGTTACGACCCAGCAAAGCGTGATGAGGTTCTCGGCAAACTCAGAATGCAGCTCGGTGGAAGAGAGAACCGAGATCTCATCTACTCCATCGCCATCTCACGAGAGCTCTCTCCTCGCGTGGAAATCGGTTTTGAGCGGAATGTGCCCCAGCATATGGATGAGTCCGACCCTAAGAACCGACTCTTCGTAGCGAACAAGTTCATTCAGGATGAGGCACAAGTGACCGGCGGAACAACAAACGTGGTCCGGCGATTCGGCGAGATTGCCATCAGAGCGTACATCAGTCCCGGGGTCAATATTGCGGCACACCCCCACCAGGCTGCTCCAGCACAGCCTTGATCATATTGATCCAACCAGATTTTTCGTTTTTTTCCTATCAGCATTCACACTCTGCAGCATTTTCCAGGCTCAAAGGGGGCGGGGGAGAACCAAAAATCGTGTATTTTCAAAGGCGTTCACAGGGATGGGAGGGAAGCATGGCTTTCTTCCCTTTTGTGCTTTTCAATTTCCTTTTTGCATCAAAGCATACGGGCGGCAATACGCTGCTGCTCGTCCTATAGTTTCACGGCCGACGGCATCATCTTGTACAAGTAGTTCCCCCTAAAAACTAGTGATTATTCAGGCATGGCGGCG